GGGGGGGGGGGGGTTTACAATTATACTCTCTATTGATATTTCTCAACTACGATACCATATAGGGTATTCAAGTGAAGAGGATTTACTTTGGTCGAACATATATTATCCAAAGAACTAATGCCCATTTCAAAACAAAAGGGAAGTGAGTGTTTTTTGAATAACTTTTGATAGGAACAGGATAGAGGATTGTAGTTTTCACCGTTGAAAAAAAGGCTGATCCGGTGCATCGATTCATATAAAGTAGTTGAGATTTATTTCATAAATAAATAGTGAAATATGGTCATCTAGGAAGAGTAGACTGTTGCTCTATAAAGATTGTTATGTTCGAAGTGTTCCTCTTCGAGCATAAGACAGAACGAAACGAATGATGAGTACTCCTTTCTATTACAATGGTTAATACGACTGCCTGGAAAGTAGGAGATGCATGGTTTGATCCCATGCGAAGAGATATTATTCTTTTGTTCTGTACTGTGGTCATACCATCACGTTGCTTTCTCGGAGATAAGAAAGAACATGACATAACGAGGATAGAACAAATCTTAAACTTTGACTAGTGGATTAGAATCACCAGCTGACGAACTACAAAACTACATATAAGGCTTCATTCAAATCTTTACTGTTTTTGGAGCTCGCAGTATTATATTCGACAATTCTAACCCACTTTATTAGTCATTTCTGTAAAGAATACTCAGCTTTTTGAGTTTTTTTCCTGGAAAAATTCAACTTGTTTTTAAGGCATTTCTTTGGTCAACTATTGTAAAAAGATTCAAAAGTACAAGGTAGAAGTCATTGTCTTATATAGTTTGATGCATTTTCATCTGCTCTTTCCAACGGTGAAAACCGCAGCTTACTACCACGTTCTTATGAAAAGTTATTCAAAAAAATACCTACCCGTCTTTCTTTTTGAAATGGACGTTAGTAAAATTCAATATTACCATATATAGTTTCGTTTATCCATGTCTACTCCAGTCAAATGGGAAACAGCAGAGACTTCAGCCGTGAAGTCCCGTGAAGTCTCGAAAGTCTCTTGAAGTCCCTGAAGTCTCATAAAGTCCCTTGAAGTCTTTGAAGTCTCATGAAGTTTCATGAAGTCTCAAGAAGTCTCATGAAGTCTCATGAAGTCTCGTGAAGTCTCGTGAAGTCTCATGAAGTCTCATGAAGGGGGTGGGTGTGGGTGGCTGCAGGCCCCTCTATGTGCCGGGGGATGCCGAGGGCTAGCCCTCGGCACTGTTTTAGCGTGTCTGCGAAAATTTTGCTATTTGTCTGTGAAATTTTTAGTAGCGCTTAGAGTTCGGATTGAAAGGGACTGGATGTCGCAAAGGTATTCCAGTGCGCCTAGAAAATCTAGATGAAGACGGCTTTTTTTTTGGTCTTCACTTCTGACTTTTGGGAAAATTGGGAGGGATTTATGAGTACTGTCTGTGAAAAATTATTAGCCACCGCCACTCTTAAAAACAATCGAGAGCCCTGAGTGGGTGTGGGGTGCGGGTGTTTCTCTGCTTCTAACACGCCCCATACCCACAACCCACACTCACACTCACACCCGAACCCACCCCACACACCCGCACCCACACCTACACCCTGTCGGTAATGGGGAGGGGGAGGGGGGGCGTATGTTCGTAATGTTCTGTTTCTCCGTTGCTAAGTGTCTGTAATGGGGTGAGAGGAGGGGGGGAGCCGCCAAACCTTGAACTGAAAACTACACTCACTATTTTCGAAGAAAATATACGTGAGTTCCACAAAACAGACTTTTGGGAGCAATCAATTTTCAATATCATTCCTGTTCGTGGTTCTCGGAAGACACTAGTTACTCTGTTATGAATAAGGGTGTCAATTTATATTTACTTTTCATTTAATTTACGCGTAAATTAAATGATATATAATTTATATTTATTATAAAGTAAACGGTAAATGAGACCCCTACTATTTGATAAGTTTTGTTTTTTTGCATGTTATAGAGGTTTCATGTAATTTCTATAAGGTTTCTTTTGATACGCATGGAATCTGCCTCTTGAAGTCCTGTGAAGTGTTGTGAAGTTTTGTGAAGTCTTGCGAAGTTTTATGAAGTCTTGTGAAGTCTTGTGAAGTCTTATGAAGTCTTGCGAAGTCATTTGAAGTCCTATGAAGTCTTCAGAAGTCTTTTGAAAATATGAAGTCACTGCGGCTGAAGTCTGTTGAAGTCTTTTGAAGTCTTGAAGTCTTGAAGTCCGCTTTTTCCCCCTTGACTCCAGTCCTATAGGGACATAATTAATCTTTCTCATACGTGCACCTATACCCTAATATTTATTTGGCTTTAAAATACTATGGTGATAAGTCTTAGTAAAAATAACACTTAGAGTATTGAAGTGATTATACAGTACTTAATTACTATTTAAGAGATTATTTTACTTAACTCTAGATATTTCTTATGATAATATAATGATATCGATGAGAAAACAAGAGCCGAAATAGCTATATTTGTAAATTCGTTTTATTACTTTCAGATGGAACAAACTCTTACATCTGATTCATTTTTGTCACCATTCCATGGCAAAACAATTGTACTCGAACTTGGTCGTGAAACAGGTTTTAAAGCTAAACAAGAACTGATCAACTATTTAAGAGAACAACAAGCCAACATTTCATATATTCTTAAAGCTAGTGTACGTTATTATTCTATTTCGTAAACATGCTGTCGCAGCTGACGCTTTTCTTTTTAAGACTGACTACGTTTTAGTCACGAATAATGTAGATACCTACAAGACACGTCGTGCTAAACACCTCGGCTTGCCACTGATCAATGTTGAATATGTATACGAATATCGTCGCTTGCCATCTGATCAAACATCATTAGATATTAGCAAATATATCATCAAATCGATTGAAGATCAAGAAAATTTTACAAAGACTGGTACTATTTCTGTTACGGGTATTGAAAACTTTTTCTTTTTTTGAAAATTATGCTAGACACACATGTTTATTAGGGTTGCGAGTGAATATCAGCAAAGTCAATAAATTTGATTTGAATAAAATCAAACTATGGAATTGGGACGATGCTGAATTACCTCGTTTTGATGAGTCTACACATTGTGAAATTGGCAAATGGGCTATTTTCAAAGTATAATTTTATGCATATATAAACCTATTATTTTGTTTTTTATACTTCTACTCTTTGTAACAGGAAACCAACGATAATTCAGATGTATTTTTTGTTCTTGAACTTCAAGTTATTCCTGAGCAATACTACGATCGAAACACGAGTGATTATAGAATACGGTTCCGATATGAAAAGCAGACTATTGTTGAAGGAGGACAACAACAAGATAGAAATGTATTAATACAGTATGCATTTAGTGATGATCCAAATGAACAACAACAATTGTTTGCATCATACTATAATCGAGTAGTTACAATGCCACGTGTAACAAGAATTCGTGAGATGTTACCTGATAAATTAGGATCGAAACTATTGTTACGTGTAAGTAAATCAAAGAGACACATTATGCTTATGAAAAAAAATTCTTCTTAGACTTTATTTACTCATCGTATTGATACGCAAATACTCGATGAGAAGGTATGCCAATTGATAGAATCGATTTGGATTGAATCTATCGGTGATCTGAATAAAATGTTGAGTGTACCACCTGAATCAATTACTCTGAAAACGGTATATATATTCATTTTACTATATTTAAATTAGTTGTTTTTCTAAACTACTAATTAGATCATCGAAGCTGAAGCTACACTACTTGAACTACGATCGACTAATGATCCTGTTGCTGCACATCGTTTCTATTCCCTTATTCCCCATCAACCACAGTACTATGTTGATCTCGTAAAGAATCGTCGAATATTGATCGAAAAGATTGATTTGTGTCAAGTATGTTCATTTCTATTTTCGTTCATTATTTCCTATAATCTTTCATCCTTTCAGATGCTTCGAGATATGCTAACAGTCAATGAACTAACCAATTGGAATATTAAAGCACCGATCGAAGCCAAATATCGAGCATTGAAATGTCATATTGAAACAGTAGATAGTTCGACACTGAAATTTAAGAATGTTGCCGAACTTATTCAATCATCGACAAATAGGTGAGTAACATTAAAATTTCGATTTTATAATAATAATTTTGTTTATATTCATTAGTAGTGAAAAAATTGTTATTCATCATGTATTCAATGTCACCAAACAGACAGATACACTGAATTTTCGTACTTCACTATCTCATCAACGACTTCTATTTCATGGATCAAAATATGCTAATTTTCTTGGAATTCTTTCACGGTAATATATTTGTTTCATGGACTAGACAATATTTATAGTTTGATTCTATACATGTAGTGGTTTAACCATGCCAAAAATGGTAGTTGAAGAATTAGGTGTCGTTCGTACTGATATTGGTTGTCTTGGTTATGGAATTTACTTTTCGGATTCGGCTTCTACATCGTTAAAATATACAACACCAAGTACAACACGACCGGGACGACGATTATTGTGCATTTGTCAAGTAGCGCTGGGTGAATCAGCCAATTATTATTCATTTTCACCGAATCTCATCAAACCTCCTGATGGTTTTCATAGTACACATGGAGTCAAACGAACAGAAGAATATCGTTCGATGTTTATTGTAAGTGATTATACAAAGTTTTTATGTTTCATCAAAAAAACAAACGAACACTTTCTAAATTTTTGATAGAAGCAACGAATCTCTTTCTCTCTTTTTCTCATATAGAAATGCAAGAGTTAATCTATACGTACTATAAAATGTTTCATAATAAACTTGAAGTTGTTAGTTTTTACAATCAAGTTTAAACCGAATCAACGCTTAAATAGGAGACGCATATTTCGACAAGTATCTTATATAAAAGTTGCTGCCATTAGATTTTATGTAATACAATGTTACAAACAAGTTTTCGGTTTCTTTTTATTTAATGAACTAAAAAAGTTATACATGACGAAGAACCTTCAACTATTGTCCAAGATCTTCCTATGCAAAGAATAGTGTTCTAATGCGAGACGAATTTTGCTTAATTTCATGTTAAAATTGTCTTGTTTTGCTGTGGAATATTAAATTAATCTACAAATACACATTTGATTTGATCGAAATATCATCTTGAAGTGAGGAGTACAACAGAAGTCCATCAGTACATGCCCCTTTACATGAGACGCAGCTATGCATCACATCAAAAGCACATGATCTGTCAGCAATTTGTGACCTGTAAGACCGGCTATTGAGATTCGTGTCTTAGCTGAGTCTCTCACCATTTGTTTTCATTGTTAGCATAGATGTAAAATATTAATATAAATCCATCAGACCTGAAGTTATGATCGAGATTTATAAGAACTTTTGTTTCGCAATATACGTAATCATTGAATTACTAATCTGATTTTGATCAAAATAGGATAATGAATATGCAATCTATCAACTCGATCAACAGCGTTTACTATACATTGTAGAAGTTTCATGGGCACCGAACGATGCTCTTAATATCGAATTAGAACGATTGCCAATTGTTCATCATCAACAACATGCATTAAAATTGAGTGAAAATGGTAATAATGATTCTGTTTTATTCGAATAAAATTCAATCAGATGATATTGTATGTTCTAGTCGAAGTTCCATTGACAATGGATGATGAAGTCATTGAAGTAGCCGAACAAGACTATGGTTTAGTATGTCCATCGTCAGGAAAACTTGTACCACTTAAATCATTTCATATTCGTGCTCACATTGTTGATTCTACAGTTGAAGTAAATATATCTATCGTTTTGTTAAAGTAAAACTAGTTTATCATATTTCTTTTTAACAAAAAAAAGGTTGTTCTCTATCAAGTCTACCACAACACAAGTTCAACACCAATCGAAGCTAAATATGTGTTTCCTCTTGATGAAAATTCGGCTGTATGCGGTTTTGAAGCACATATCAACAATAAAGTTATAAAAGGCGTCGTTAAAGAAAAAGAACAAGCCAAACAGGAATATCGAAAAGCAATCGAAAAAGGTCATGGTGCCTATTTGATGCATCAAGAACAAGCTCAAGTGTTTAGCGTAGCTGTTGGTAATTTACCAGCGAATAATGAAGTCATCATTAAGATAACCTATGTTGCTGAGTTAGAAATCGAAAATGGTGATATCATCTTTCGTCTTCCAGCTAAAATGGCTTCATGGCAATCGAAACAAGCAATCGAAGCTAAAGATCAATCGATTGTACGATCTATTGGTATTGTTGATGAAAAAGTCGAATTCAGTTTCAAAGCATCGATTCGAATGCCATATGAAATCATCAAATTATTTTCACCAACACATCGTCTTCGTCGAAAATTAGCTGATTGTATAGCTATGGTTGAACTTGTCGATAACGTCTTACTTGATCGAGATTTTGTTCTTTCTATTACACTCAAAAGTGCTAATTTACCTCGAATATCAAATGAAACATTGTCATTGGATGATGACCAAGTCACAACAACAACAACATCGAACACTAATTCTCAAGCATGTATGCTTACATTTTATCCGCGATTTGAAACATTAATGAATTCGAACGAACAAATTGAAATTATTTTTATTATTGATGTATCCAATTCGATGGATGGTAGTCATGTACAACAGGCTAAACAATTAGCTCATTTATTCCTTATGAATTTAAAAGTTAATGATAGAAATACAATTTTCAATGTAGTTACTTTTGGATCAGGTAATAAGATGATTGTCAATAGTATTATTCTACTGTGCAAATTTCAACTATTTAGATAATGATGAATGTTTTCCGATTTCAACACCAACAACAAAAGAAAATCTTGATAAAGCCAAACATTTTGTTCTGGTTGGTAATTTATCTTGAACATAATTTTTCTCACGGAAATGTATACATTCGACATATTTTCTAGCATTCACTTGTCCATCGTGGTAATACAGATCTATTTTCTGTTCTTCATCGTTATTCACTTTTACCATCGTTAACATCATCGAAATTTGGTCGACAATTTATTCTTCTATCCGATGGACATATTCATGATTTTAAATCAATTCTTACATTACTCAATCATCAATCAACTATGCGTTATGATCGTTTATTTACATGTGCCATAGGTAATATTGCTGATAAACACAGTTTGAAACAATTAGCTCGCGGAGCATGTGGAGGTGGTTTCGCAACAATATTCGATTCAAATTATCGATCAAAATGGAAAACAAAAGTATTAAATATTCTCGAACAAATTCGACAACCATGTATTACAAGTATATCAATCGATTGGCATGGTCAACTAGATGAACAACAAAAATTGAATATGCAAGCACCGAAAATAATTCGACCATTGTTCAATGGAATGCGACTTAGCGTCTATCGATTTATACAAAATTGTCACAAGGCAACATTAATAGCGACTATTGATGGACAAGAACTTATTACAACTGTATTTAGTAGTGCAATAACAACGACCAAAGGACGCATGCTACATTGCCTAACTACTCGAGCCATTATCGATGATTATGAAAATGGACTATTGCATGTAGATGAGAGCGAAAATGAATTAATGAAAATTCAATGTAAACAAGATCTCATTGATCTAAGTATCAAACATTCAGTTGTAAGTGAATATACTAGTTTCATTGCCATTGAAGAACGTGATGCTAAAACAGATACATATATTCGTCAACCAGGTTAATAAAAATCTAAAGCATATTAATAATAAGAATGTTAATTTATAGGTATTCGTCTTCTTGATGTTATGCTTGATCGGGATATCGATTTATTACCATATATTGGATGGGAGGGTGATGTATCAAAGATAATATCAATCAAACAAAAATTAATTGATGCACGTATGTCACTTGAATGTGCATCGATACAAAGCAAAAAAGAAACGATTACTGATATTGAAAAACTCTGTGAAAAAATTTCCTATCGAACAGGTGATGATACTAAATTTGATATGATGATTTCTCTTATACATACGTATCGTTATTCATTGAATGAATATGAAAAAGCAAATCAACTTGAAACTAAAATGCTAAATGGTATGTTAATTAATCAAAGATAAACATTTACAGATGTTAATTTTGAAAAATAAAATAGATATTAAGATTGAAATGAGACATGCAACAACAGAAGAACGACAAGCATTACAACAACAATGTGACGCTAAGAATTTGAGAATTACAAGTGACGAACAGTATGTCAAAGAAAGAAAATATTCAAAATAAAACTTTGTATAAATTCTATTTTCGTGAATCTAGCATGGGCGATCTCGGTAAGACAAGAGCAATTATTTATAATTCGTTCATTTCTATTTCAGAGTTTCCAAGTGAGAGATAAAAATTGATCATATTTGCAGTGCTAAACATTCATTATAATGTTTACTTGATGATCGATACGAGAATACAGCGTTCTTAATGAGACTAAAAAATATTTGTTAACTCGTAGACATAACATATGATTATTCCATTTGATTCGAACCTAGAAAAAAACTGTCCGTAGAGTGGCGGTATGCCGTTGGTTTTTTTTAGCAAGTAGTACATCGAAACGACTGAATGCTTTTTTAAAACTTTGATAAAACAGTCAGAATTTCGTGTCAGATGATATTCCCTGGTAATATCGATGAGCCTGAGCCACCTGTACTAACCATAGAGTTTAAGTCGGTCCTAATGCTGAAATCAATTTTTCGTTATAGATGATGGTGCAAAATAAAACAATGTTACTGAAAAATTTTGTAAAAGTTTTGTTTTTTATTCATAAAATTGAATTCTTTTTAATAGTAAATACGAGTTTGAACAGAAAATTCTTTCTGCAATCATTTAGATCTGGAATCGGATGTTAAGGACGCTACTGCCAGATTTTACAAGTACGGAAACATATGAATGATATTGGTAGTAGTCTGAGATCATTCCGAAATGAGATGGATACTGTCTTGTTGGTATCAGATGAGTTATGTAACTTTTATTATCAGAATTGAATATGATGTTTCTTATTTCTATCACTACAAATCAGCTTTTATCCGTTCACTGTGAAATAATTGAAGTCATGAGTAATATTTATAAATGAAAAGGTAACAATGATGGGAAATCTTTACAAATCAATATTGTACTTTTCATCATATTAGTGGATTTTTTCTCTAATGTACAATGGCTTTCATATATTTTTCATAGGCTCTAATAGTTTTCTAATGCTTTTTAATCATTTTAAAATACTTAGATAATTCATTCATATTCGTCAAGAATTATACGGAGTTTTGTTTTGGGTATAAAAATCAGTATGTTTTCGATTCGATGAAACTGAACTTTTGCCAATGATTTTGAAAACTAGACTTCAAAGAGCAAGAAAACTAGTAAATAAAAACCTTCGTAATATTTCATATAACTTTTGACTTTTGTCATTATTTTAAAGAAAATAATAGCTATTGATCATCCTCGCTCATTCCTAGTATTAATCTCAAGAAGTTTAGTACTATAGCTAACTGATTTTTTTTTATCTGTGATACATACTGATGCTTACGAATGATACTATGAATAGATTTCACATGTGATGATTAGATTAGACCTATATTCAAAAACAGTGTAGATATCTTTTGATTCCCAAAAAATGAAATGTGAATTGAAGAAAATAGAAGATTTTTGACGTTACCTGTTTCAGATAGTAAAAAGTATATTTTAATCAAATATACATAATAATTAGATTCTTTTCTTGACGTACAAGAAAGAAATATTGCTTAATTTAAGATTCAAATTTGATAGCCAATGATCGAAAATATTTTTGATTATTCAGATACTCATCAAGTCGCTCTTATAATTCACTTGAGAAGTTACTGAATCTACGCAAAAATACCTTGGAACAAACTGTTACATAATAAGAGAGGACAGCAAGACAGATGAAGAACCAAAAAAACAAACGACGAACTAAAGATTAGAGTAACACTTCATAATCACTAGAAAAAATAGGTTACCTATAAAAATGAACTATGATGAGAAAACAACATTAATATCAGTGTCTCTGATATTTTCGGATAGATAAATCAATAGATACTAATTGCACCGTTCAAACCTATACAGGCAATGAAACCTAAAACTTCGAAATAGATATGTAATGGTCTTCTGAGAGACGTGTGAGACAAGTCAACTTCGAAGGTATTATAAACATTGTTTCTTCGTGTACAATGGACTTTTTTTTCAAGAAAAAGATACTCACTTCTGAATGCAATTTTTAAAATATTCATGATTAATTGAGATAGCCGGCAGTATATGCTAGACTTTCTTCGAGAAGTGTAACATGAAGATATGTCATATATGGCATAAGTCGACAATAATCCATACTTTTGACAGTGAATCTCACAAATTTCAGTTCGTAAGAAAGAGTCTACGAAGTGATGATCGTTCTTCAAAACTTTTCTTAATGGTATTTGAAAAAAAATTAATTTCTCTATAAGGATTACAAGAAATATTAGCACTTCTATATTTTGATAATTTTTATTTTTCAGAAAGTGAATAGAACATTTCTTTTTTTGTATCTGCTAGAAATATTCTTTACTTACAGTGTCTGTTGATTTTTAGCAGTGAAAGATACATCTGAAAATCGTTCATCACAACGAAAGTCAAGATGGGAACCAGTCGTGCATTATGATGAAGAGGATGAAGAAGATGAAGATGATGCTATGAATGAAGATGATGATATGTATGTCAACTCGTTCGAACAAGAGAGCGACATGTGCTACTATATATCACCAAGTGAGTTATACAACTTTTATTAGATTTATAGTAAACATTGAGAGTAAAGCTCAATAAAAATCAAAATTGTTCGAATCACTTTCAAAAGTTTATTTTCGAATTTCGATTCGTACATTTCAAAAGATAAAGAAGTTAAAAAATAATCAAAATTTTGAATTTCCTAATGATAAATATAATGTCTCTCTTGACTCTCCATTGATTGATTTACTAGATGACGATTTTATGCCTTCCATTGCCAATTAACACATCAGAAAAGTTGGATAATATCTTTCATTATTCTTAAATATTATTTGAATTCAAGAAAAAGCCATACAAACGTACTTCTAATTTCTTAAAACCTTTCATTTGCACTGCTATGTGAATAATAAGATTCTGAAAACTTCGAAAATATGAATACACGTCATATATATATATGTGTGTAACATCTTTTGCTCTTTATGATATGATCAAAATGTTTAATCTACAATTGCTTAGCCTTTTGTATGTTCAAAGGTTGACATTAGTAAGCATTTGGCTGTATCATGTATCGATAAAATTCAAGTAGCGAATTTTTTTTCTTATTGTATCTAAATAAGTCTTCCTATACTCCATCAGTTCCTTTTGGAAAACTAGAAAGATCTGATTTAATCACAAAAGAAAACAACCATTGATTCAATATTTTTTTTAGATATCAATGTATGACTGATACAAGTTTTAATCAAACTTCACTTTCTTCTTATATATAGTTTCATCAAATCAACCTTCGCCGCTACCTGCATTTAGTCCATCATTTCCAGGACTGCCTACACCATCATTACAACGACAAGCAGAAGTTCGAAATCAATGTGAGATGTCAATGTCTTCTCCTAAGCAAAGAACCTCATCGAGAGTATTTTATGAGATGTGCTCTTCTGGTGATAGGCTACAGTTACAACCTCAACATATTTTCGAAACATCACAAGCTTATCCTCTCACGATAATGTCACAAGAAATAAAGCAGTATCGATCGAATAATAAACTACTACCCTTCGATACAAATCTTTCGACACCAAACAATAACAATTTATTGTCACCAATTATGGGATCTTTACCTCGAGCCACCTTTTCACCTCTGTCTAACGTTACGGTTCAAAATAATTTCGTTCCTATACCAAGAGTGGTTCCACATAGTTCTATGACATACTCACCATTTGGTCAGTCAATGATATCTAAGAAATATCACTTGCGTTCTCTTTTAGGTATTAGTTCCAATGATACAAGAAATAGTATGAATGCCTCCTTTTGTGTTCCACCTGCATATATTCATCGTGAGTCATAAAAAAGAATCACAATCACTTTTCTATTCAGTGCCATCGCTTTTTAAAATTAATACAATCGGTTTTTTTGTGATTAGAAAATGCTAGTATTTGTTCGCCTTATCTTCCAACAACAGCATTATCACCATCATCATCAATCAGCTATTCCAACAGAATTCCCACCTTGTATGCTGTCCAGAATATGGGTAAGAGTTGAATCTTGGTCTCTTTATATTTATACTAGTCTTTCTCTTGTATTAAAGTTGAACTACACTTGATTCTATTGAGTAAAATGGGACTAACTGCGAAAGACGAAATATTATAGAAAGTAAAATTAAAATTGTTCTTCGAACAAATTATTCTGACAGACATAAATAGTATCGAGAGAGAAATCGTTCAACTCATGTACAAATAAGTATACAATCTCGAGAAATTATATGCGATCTAATGCTGAAATGAATGAATAATTAGAGTGTTGAAATTGAAAACGTTAATCAATGAAATAGTATTAACCACGTACATTTCAATGATATGGATTTATAGACATGAGTCTCTTCTGCTGTTCTTACTGATATTTACATTAAAATTCTTTCAATTTCTTCATAGTGATAAACAAAGGAGATGACAGATGTTTTTAATTATGTGCTATTAGTTGACATTTCATAAATGAAATCACTAAAGAAGATCAATGCAAGAAATTTAATTCATAATATGTAAAATAATACTTTAAGTACATTTGTCAAAAGAATAACTATACTTATGTCGACCATCTACTATACAATTTTTGTAGTCTAAAAATTCTTAGCATAGAGAAAGAAAAATTTACGGAACAATGTGTTTTAGAGAATAGCTTTAAGCATGAAAATTAGCAGTTTTAGAATCAATCATAATGAGAAAATAGGTTATGTGTGTACATAAACATATAGTTTTATGCTTTCTACATTTTTCAAAAACAAAATCAGAATAGTATATATTTTCTGTTAATGGTAGATTGTACTGCTCGCAAGATATTTCAACTAACATTAGTTAGCATTATGATTTTTGAGATGCCTTGTCTAATAGCATACACTCATTCATCATCTGAAAAAAATTTATAATAAGCTATCAATCGGCATCTAGCTAATAGGTTTTATCATCGATTATTTTATTGCAACATAAACAATGATCAACATCAATAACAAATTATGATGCACTGATAAAAGACTATATTACTTCATTATGAATTAATAAAATTGATAGAATTCACTCTCGTTCGATTTTAACTTAAACCATCAATATTCAATAAGAGATATCGAGTTACCGATATTTTTCTTGGAATGATAAGAAGTTGGTCTATTTTAGTATGACATCGTTCATAGTCCATTGTCGGTTGTATATGTTCAACCTGTTATCTTCTAGGTTGATGTTCATTGTAGGTATGGATTTGAACTCGGTAACAAATTTGTATCAATCTAATGCTACACCCGAACCACAACCACCAATGTCATATTCAACAATATCACTATCAAGAGAAAGGAAGAAGTCATCGCCATTCAAAAGACGTAGATACCTTGTAGATTGTTTAAAAGCATCGTCATCTAGTTCAAGTACCAATAAGAGTAAGTTAGGATCACATTAATCCCTTGACCGTTTCGATGGATGAATAATGCATTTAGAAAGATCGTTGCGTATCTCACCGCGTGGTTCACAATAGATTCGGTTTTCTTTCTTACAGACCGTGGCCCAAGAATTGAAGAGATGTCTAGCAGAAGTCGTATCTCAATAGGAGAATCTATTAAATTCGCCCCAGTGAGTACATTAACATATAGTTCTTTTTTCTGAAACATTTGCTTGTTTCTAGCGTAAAATGAGTAGCAACTATTTACCAGACATTGATCGTGACCGTAAAAGAACAGAATCTAGACGAGATGGCAGGAGAGATAAGAAAAAAAGACGGTAAGATAAAACAAAAAACTTTCATAGAAACATGAGGCGATTATTTATTTATTAATGATACTTTTAAAAATGAGGACACAGTAAAAATTTAGCTCTAGATCAAATACGAATTCGGTGTCAATGTCCGATGAATCTCATGACATTCGAATGTTGAATGATGTCTGTCAACTAAGTCTTGGCATTGAAGATATTCATGGTCACATGCATATATTCATTCGTCGAAATACAAACGTTCCAACACAAACTGAACTTTGTACAATATTCACAAATGCTTATGCCTATCAGACAACAGCTATCATTCGTATATATGAAGGCGAACATACACTAACAAAATACAATGTGCGTAGCACCCAAGATATATAAATATTTTTCGATAACCTTTCCTATTGTAGACATTCTTGGGTGAGTTTAGTCTTCCTGGTCTATCAAACAATTTTGCTTCCCAAACTCTCGAAATTGGTATTCGTATGGATGTTGATAAATATGGTATACTTCGTATCAATGCTGAAGAGATGCGTTCAGGTGCCAAAGCTTCATTTACTATTGATTGGAGTAGACAGAAAAGTATGAAAATTAATTTGATGTTTGATATTATAATTAGTTATCATTTAAATATTTTCAGAATTCACAAGAGATGAATTTAGGCAACATATTCAATATGTACACAGTGATCCAAATTTTACAGCAAAATCTAGTAAGACGTAACCCTAGAGAAAGTACTGAGTTCAGGGTATCCATGTACTGAGAAAGTCTCAGCAAGGTACCCGATATGGATACTTCGAAAATTCTCAATAATTTGACTCATGTAGATACAGTATTGGGTACCTATAGCAGTATGTTTACTGAGCAAGTACTTGTATGGGTATCTGCACCTGTAATTTTACTGAGGAAAGCTCTACAGAGTACCCTAAATTTGTCACGTTCTGTGTAGCAGCTGTTCATTCACCGTTTTCTTTTGCACTTATTGCTCCATATAAACAACTCGACAAAACATAAGAAATGAGTATGTTTTTTTCATACTAATTTTTTTCTAGATTATTTCTTGACTATTTTCTAGTCGAGAACATATCGATCTCGATCGTAAATTGGGAAGGACTACTCTGAAGTGGTCTGATAAAGATCCTAACAACTTAAGTCCGGTCAGATGCTGAAATTTGACCTGCTTGAGCTTTCAGAATTGGAAAAATTAAATTAAATAAAATCAAGAAAAATGCCATAAATTTCTTTCAGAGAAATAAAAATGAAAAAAGTCAAAGGTTAGGTTCGATCGTCAACATACTGCAATTTTGGCAATGGGTTACCTAAAAATACTGTGCAATAGTACCCAGTTGAATATCTTATAAGTACCTATTTACTAGACGCTTTCCAGTAGGGTACCCGTCCGAGTATCTTAAGATACTTCAGTACCCAAAAGTTACTCGGACATACTAGTAGCAGGGTTTTTTTTCAGATACCCTTAGCTCAGTACATTCACTAGAGTAAAGCAATAAATGATATTTAATTGTTGTTATTTTGTAGTTTATGACCGTCAACCTAGTGATCCATTGTACATGGTGTGTATTATATTGTCTGTTCATCATTTCATTATTTACTTTTTTTTGTATCTTTTATCAGCTTGATGGTCAAACTGAAAATGTAATACACAACTTTTGTGGTGAATCTATTACTTCATTCGGTAATTTGTTTTTTGTTATTATATGCAAAATCTACTGTGATTATCATTTTATATAAATTCAGATCAAAAGGATGATACTCCACTTCTTAGTCAACTGAAAGATGTTCGATCAACAAAAACTATGATTGAAGAACTTCTCAAACTCCAGTCTGAGGTAGAATCAATTTTAAGTTATGTTAATTACTCATTGTTTGATTTTCGATTATGAATATAGGATGGTTCATTTATGTTAAATAAAGATTTAGCTAATATATTTCATATCAAACTTGATACTTTCAATGATCTTGAACTGTATTTACACAAACAAGGTTTTAATTCTCTCGGTAAGATCGAATAATTTATTATTAAGTTACATAGACAGACACGTTTTAATTGTATTAGCTCTAAGTATACGTAATGAAATTTTTCGTTTAATTGGTACCGGTGTTATTTTATTTTGGCTCGTTCTTCAAACTGAAACTGTACAACAAGATACACTTGACTGTTTCTTTAACAGTGAACAAATCAAAGTAAATCGATTTTTTTTCTCTTTTCTTTTGTGTTCTAATATCTATATCTTCCTAAGGTCCATCTTTGCAACTATTTACCCGCCAACATGCACGAAAAGATTGACAAATCAATCAAATTCTATCAATTAACTAGTCAACGTCATAATTTATATTGTAGACAACTAGAATTGAACGTTTCATCATGGGACATGTTCATTGAATGTATTCTTATTGGTGTCGATCGTGGCAATTCTTAAGAAATGAGTTTGAGTAGCATTTACTCTTTGTTTTTTGATAATATTAATTTTCATTTCTAATACGCTAATCGTGAAAATTTGCAACATGCTTTATTCTTCGACTGAAATAAAGGGATTTTAATCGAAAATTGTTAATGAAATCACCGATTATTAGTATTACTATAATACAATAGAGTATATACGGGGTGTAGGTGTGGGGGTGGGTGTGGGTGGGTGTGGGATGTGTATGGGTGTGGGGGTGGACGTGGGTGCGGGTGTGGATTGGTGTGGATGTGGATGGGTGTAGGTGTGGGCGTGGGTGTGGGGTGGGTTTGTGGGTGCGACTATCGATAAAGATGAAAGTTTTCCCCACACCAACACTCACACCCACTACGTAGGTCAAACACTTACTGGAACAAAAGTTCGATTAACTCTACCTTGTGGGATTTTATTAGCAAAGGACACTTCTTTTAGTATGCTCTAGGTATATGATTTTGACTTTGTCTAGTATTGGAGCATCGCCTGAAGTTCTTCACCGTGTGTTCACGCCCATTCGACTTTACTATCGTCTAACAAGATGGTTGCTTGGAGATGAGCACGATCCATTCGCCACAGTTATCAACGATGATTTGCATCCGATATCTGCCATGATGCGTAAATACGAAACAATCATTCGTATAATTTTCTATGGCTCACACATTATTGCATCAACTTTTCTCGTGGCACTGCTTCTTCATTTTTGTCACCGACTTTCTTTTAAGTTGGGACTTCCAAGCGCAAAGCAATGCTTGGTTATGGAAGAGAACTGATCCTGAAGCGAATATGTAAAACCCATTAACTTGTTGAGTACTTTTAAAGACACTAATTTTCCTCTTATTCGCGTTTATATTCATCCCTTACTACTAATCTTTATTCTCAGAATAATAAAGTACAGCAGAAGCCCTAGTTAGAATTAGAATCCAGATTGTTGTCATCTAAACTCGATGACAAATCTGGCGAAGATCTTACCAGGAATCGATCTTTTCTTCAGACAAAATGACTGAAAGTCGGAATCAACGTGTCATAGACAACTTTTCTCGATCCTGAAAGGCCTTCAGAATCAATTACCACTTGGTTGTGGTTCCCTTTTCTCAATGTCGTCAAGGTAAGATCTGAGTGTGAAATAAGGGTGTGGGTGGTGTATGCCTAATTGTGGGTATGGGTAGGATGTGGCTAAGTGAGTGTGTGGGTCTAGTTTCTATTAGACAACAATACTCACATCCACCGACATCTACAATCACATTCACATCCACACCCAAAGTCATACCCACACCCACACCCACACTCACACCCACACCCTGTGTCACGGTCTGCGGTAATAAAAGGAATTCTTCATGTGTTGCTCTTTGATCTTTCGACACACTGGGATAGATGCATTGAAATTTCTTCATTATGGGAAACGTTTTTCCATCGTGCTTAATATTTTAATCCTATACAGATTATGTTGAAAGCTTTCTTTTGTATTTACTTAGATCATAATATTGTTGGAAGAGAATCACGGGCAGTTAAATACGTTGATAACATTATTAAACGTGCCAGCCAATGGTTAAATTATCTATGATCTATGTTTGAATAAGAAAAATAAGAGATCAAGAAAATTTTTATCTTTTAGAGCACGTACTTCTATATGTAGGGAACTTTATAATGAAAGTCTATGTTGGTAAAAAGACAGAATCGTTCGAGGTCAGAATCATGTTCTACTAGAATACTTGCTGTCATGTGTAAAATATTACTATTTTGCATGCTGATTATCTTTCATGCGCAGGTACTATCAGAGAATAAATTTAATATGTATAATATCGATCATTATCAACACGATAGCTATTGTGTTTTATACTACGTACTCGACAATATTATTGCTTATACATCAGGGCGGATCCCAAAGCTCTTTGCACATCAGATCATTTCTTATTATCTGCGATCATCAGAAGAAAATGTTCTCAGCATAGACTTTAACAATACCAATGATCTGAGTTTTACTTTTGAAGAATTACGAGATAAAAATATCACCAGTGAACAATTACTCTCATGGTCGGTCCCAATTGATCTAGCTGAACGATATCAAGTCTTTTTAACTAATAGTTCGCAATGGTCATCGTCCATGAAAGACATATTAGTCTATAATTGTACATTACCATGGTTTGGACCACTCTGTCAATTTTCATTCGATCCACTAACTAACAACTCATTGGATGAAATCATTGTTTTCAACTTCGAATTCAAACCAGAGATCAAGCAAGGCAGGAAAGTGACATGTTACGAACACCTGAATTGTAAGACGGCGTGGTTATGTTTGGATTGGCGTGAGATATGTGATAGAAAAGTCGATTGTTTGGACGGATCAGATGAGTATAATTGCTGGCAACTTGAGACGAATAAATGTGCTGAAAATGAATATAGATGTCACAATGGGCAATGTATTCCGGAAGAATTTTTTCGTGATGTTCCAAACAACCCAGATTGTTTGGATCGAACAGATGAGATTCAAGCGAACTATTTGGGTAATTGTGATAGTGATCCCGCCTTTCGATGTGAAGAACACACATGTCAGTCGAGAACCCGTGACTTTCCATGTGGTGATGGACAGTGTGTCAATGGCATAAGTTCAGTTTGTGTAAACGGTCGTAATAGCCCTTTACTGAAGGATAATTGTTCAATTGCTATGGCCTGTCTTATGTTGCTTGAAACACTTATTAACAAAAACTGGTGTGAAAAATTTTGCTCGAATAAAAATTGTGCAAAAGATTAT